CTGTGGCATTTTCTGTGCTGAGATATGTTTGAGTAATAAATGTGACGACTCTTGTTCTCAGGTGCTCATGATCTGATTGAGAGACTTTTGCTTCTCTAATCCTTGTCGCTTTTGGTGACTACTAATAATCAAAGGTGGTAGAGTTGCCTGATATCCTGAGATTGAAAGTGTGCCCCCTGAACTCAGGGGCTTGTATTTGTGTTGCTAAATGTAAGCTTCTCTCTCACCTGAAAACTTGTATGTTTTCTTTCTAGTTTATGAAAGACTTGTTGCAAATTATATGATCATATTACTAAAAATTTAGAAAATAAAGGAGAAAATAATAGTACTATAATATTGTAATATCTTATTTTTCCTCTGTAGTTTTTTTTTGGGGGGGGGTTGTTTGTTTTGTTTTTGTTTGTTGTCTTTTGTTTTTTCAAGACATGGTTTCTCTGTTTTAGCTCTGGCTGGCCTGGGATTCACTCTGTAAATCAGGCTGGCTTTAGACTCTGAGATCTGCCTTCCTTTACCCCACCCCTCACCCTACCCCCGCCAGTGCTAGGATTAAAGGCATTGGCCAGCACTGCCCAGCTTGTATATGTGTGTTTAAATTAAATTTTGTTTTGTCTTGTTTTTTTCCTATGTACCACATGTGGAAGTCAGAGGACAGCTTGCAGGAGCAACTTTCTCCTTCCACTCTGTAGATACTGTGAATTGAACTCAGGTCTTCAGACTTGGTGGCAAACAAAAACAAAAAAACAAAAACAAAACAAAACAAAAACAAAACCCCCTTACCTCCTGAGCCATCTCCTCCGCACTCTTTTTTTAATTTATTTTTGTTTATGTGTATGAGGGTTTGCCTGAATGTATGTATATATACTGCATGGGTACTTGGTGCCCACAGAAGCCAGAAGAGAACACCAAATCCCTTGGGAATGGAGTTACAGAAGGTTGTAAGCTGCCACATGGGTTCTGGGAGCTGAACCTTGGTCCTCTTCGAGAACAGCATGTGCTCTTACCTGCCAGCCCTCTCTTAAGACTCACCATTCGCTTTTTTTTTTTTTTATATAGAAGTAGGTGGGAGAGGGAACACACTATTTGATATTAGTACCAGAAACCTAATTGCAGCAAATTTACACAAATAGGACTTTGTTTTAAGGGCAGAAGTGTCTTTGAGCTTAAGGAAAGCCCTTCTTGGTGAGGTCCGGAGAATGATGGAGGGCAAGCATTCTCTCTTCATCTTTGAACAGAGTTTCTTCTCAGGCTTCCTTTTCTCTTTCTCTCATCCAGCTTTTTCCATATGGTTAAAAGCTACAAAACTCTACCAAGTTTACTATTTTCTACTTCAGCCAGCTGGACTCAGTTCCTACATGGGTTCCAAGACTGGTTTTACAAAGTGGTCATTCCTGTGATATCTGTTTGCTCTGGCCATGCAGTTTTCTCATGTCAGGGGAAGGCAGGGCCACTTGTAGCTTTTACCCTCTGGACCTTGTGAGCTAAAATGATTTCAACCATTCCCAAACAGTGACCTTTGGATCGTCAGATAGGATAGGTACCACCCTGGAGGCTTCTGTGGTTTCTCTCTTAGTCTTTTTTCCGGGTTCCTCAGGTAGAATTAAAAGCTGGCTCTTCGTCCTCAAACTTGAGGTCCTGCACAGTTAACAGATCCACTGGGCAGCAGTAAAGTTGGTTCTTTCTCCCCTTCCAGAAAGGAAGCTGGGCCATATCAAAGAACCTCCTGCCCTCCAGGCCAGGACTCCAGGGGATGAGCCAAGTTCTGGCAGCTGCTCCCAACATCACCCCCACTGCTTGCCACCTGTGGATCTCCCCATGAAAAAGGAATACAGGGCCTGGAATACTTGTCCTGCCATCTCAGGCTGCCCTAAGAGAACCAAGGGCCTATCCTTTAAGGTTTTTAAGAGAGTGAAGTGACCATTCTGGGGTCAGGCTCCCATTCATAAGTAACTGCCCAATCCTTTTGTTTTTAACTCATACTTTTTTTTTGTTTTTTGTTTTGTTTGTTTTGTTTTGTTTTGTTTTTCGAGACAGGGTTTCTCTGTGTAGCCCTGGCTGTCCTGGAACTCACTCTGTAGACCAAGCTGGCCTCGAACTCAGAAATCCGCCTGCCTCTGCCTCCCAAGTGCTGGGATTAAAGGCGTGCGCCACCACTGCCCGGCTTTTTTTTTTTTTTTTTCTTTTTTAGATTTTTTTTTAACTCATATTCTAAAAAGAGTGCTTATACCAAAATTCAGATGTTACAGTCTAAGCAAGCATTGTTGACCTACTTAAACTTAAGTTTTTCTCACCCCAAATGTACATACACTAGAACTAGATACTTTGTGGGATACCCTAGTGAAAAAGAAAAAGAAAAGCCAATTACAAAAGTGTGGCACAGTTGACTGGGCCCCATCTCAACAGGGCAACTTTCTCCAGGAAACTGTCAACTGACATATGTAACTACTTGTGACAACTCCTATGGAAACACTGTGGTGAGGGTATACATCCTAGCAAAGCCAGAGGACACACAGATTCCACAGTGCACACAAAGGGTTAGGTTCTGTAGTTTTTCACTGGCTAATGTGTATGAACATTTTTCTGTATCATAGATTTCTTTTAAGGTCTGTGTTAACAACATATGTAACGTTTGTAAGCTATGTTTCAGTTTGTTTCAGCTTTTTAAATATTAGAGAATTGAGTCTATTAAAAAATGCACACATCAAAAAAAAGAAAAAGAAAAATCTGGGCGGTGGTAGCGCACGCCTTTAGTCCCAGCACTTGGGAGGCAGAGGCAGGCGGATCTCTGAGTTCGAGGCCAGCCTGGTCTACAGAGTGAGATCCAGGACAGCCAGGGCTACACAGAGAAACCCTGTCTCGAAAAACAAAACAAAAACAAAAAAACAAACAAAAATGCACATAGTGGCATCTGAAATGTAAATAAATAAAATATCCAATTAAAAAAAATACACATAGTGTCACTGCGCCCAAAGATTTTTCTGTATCAGGAACTTTTTTTTTAGGGTATAGAAATTGAAACATGTACCTAAAGTCTGAGGCACCTGTGCTTTGAGGGAGGAAAGGAACAAGTGTGTGAAGAGTGTGTGTGTGTGCGTGCGTGCGCGCGCACACACTGGAATGAGGGAAAAGTGATGTGAGTGAATGTGAGCAGAGTGCAATGACAGACAGGTGTGAAAATGCCACTTTAAATACATTCTCTTAAAAGTGTCTACTTATTTATGTATATCTACGTTGGTGCTTTGCCTGCATGTATGTCTGTGTGAGAGTGTCAGATCTTGGAGTTACAGACAGTTGTGAACTGCCATGTGAGTGTTGGGAATTGAACCCCAGTTCTCTTGAAGAGCAGTCAGTGCTCTTAACCAGTGAGGCATCTCTCTAGCCTCTAAGTAAACTCTTTTTAAGAAAACTTATACTAACATTTCTCTCTGTTACTAGCAATGGATGATAAAGATAATTTCCACAATCTTTAGGTGTGAAATTATGCGTGTGGGTATGTGCATGTGAACACATGTGCCTGAGGAGTGCAGGGATTATAGATTCTCCTGGAGCTGGAATTACAGATAACTGTGAGCTGCTCAATGTGGGTACTGACACCTCAACTCAGAGTCTCTTTGCCAAGAGTGGTAGGCAGTCTTAACTGCTGAGTTCCTCTTTAGATTTTTTTTTTTAATCTCATTTTTTACTACTAGGAATTGAACTGGGGCTTTATACAACTGTTGCACCTGTGAGCTATGTTCCCAGCCCTAAAATATTCTGTTTTAGTATTTTTATCTTGGGGACTGGAGGAATGGCTCAGTAGTTAAGAGTATCGTCTGCTTTTGCAGAAGACAAGTCACATCCATCTGTAACTCCAGTTCCAGGATTTGATGTCTTCTGCTGGCCTCTGCAGACACCAGGCCTCCATGTGGTACACTTACATACATTTAGGCAAAACACTCCTACACATAAAAAAATTTTTAAAAAGAATCTATAAATAAAAAAATTTTTTTAAATCTTATTATTGTTTTATTTGAGACAGGATCCTGGCTATGTAGCTCAAGTAGATCATAATCCTGTTGTATTCTCTAAAGTTCTGAGACCCTCCCACAGGCACAAGCCACCACACCTGGCCTTCCGTTTTCATAATTTGTTGAATAATGTTTCATAATTTATTGAAAGATAGGGTTTAAAGTGTATTTTGATTGTGAAGAAAAGTTTGGAGTTAGTCTTTCTATCAACTTGCTCAATAACTGTAGCTTCAGTTTACAGTTCACATTGGAATCTTGACAGTTTTTGAAGTGTATTGTCCTTCAATTTTTTAAAAAAATGTATTTACATAGATGTATGTGTATGTAGGCCACATAGGATGGGAGCCCATGGGTTCCAGAAGAGAGGACATCAGAGCCTCTGGGACTGGACTAGAAGCTGTTATAAATGCCTCACATAGCTGCTGGGAGTTGAGCTACGGTCCCCTGGAAGCAGAGAATGCTCTCAACTGCTGAGCCATCTCTTTAGCCCAAAAATCTTGATATTTTAGCATATATACTATTTTATATAATACAGGCTGATTTCCTATTTTACTTTAAATGTGCTCCTCTAATTCTTCACGTAAAAAAAAAATCTCCTGGCATATGATTAGTTGTTATTCTTTTTTATTATGGATTTTTATAACATGCCAAGATTTTACAGAGTAAAAGAGACCCAAGAGAAGGAAGCCAGAGAGCTAACCATCCTGACCCCTCCATCTCAGGGGTAGCTGTCCATGGCTGTTTCAGAATTTTTTGTCATGTTAGAGTGTAGACCCATCTATCTGTCTGTGGGAAGGACCAACACTTAGAATAAAGTTGACTCAGCTCTTGTCTGGAGATGTGCTTTTGGATGAGAACATAGGTTTTCCAACCTTGGTTTCTTCATCTGGAAGATGGACGGTCATGTGAAGGATGATTTTGAGGGCAGGAGTTTGTGATTATACATGCCCAGGGTGAAGGAGTGGATTGACAGGAAGATACTGTATCTCATTGCAGAGTTTTGGAAGAACCAGCACAGTAACACTGCCTGAAACCTTGTTGTTTGTTTCAACCCTGGATGGAAGTTTGCATGCTGTCAGCAAGAGGACAGGCTCCATCAAGTGGACTTTAAAAGAAGGTAATTTGGATTGTTTTTGAGTGACACAGAACTCAAGTAAACATATTCCAATGGAAAATGGTAATATGTTTTTTAATAAAATAAGGACGGAGAATGAGGTAAAAAGAGGAAAAGGACTTGTACTCAAAAGTGGGTGAATTTAAGGCTTGAACTGTTATGACCACTGAATGCAGCAGATGAAGAACCTATCTTATCTCTTACGCTTCGTTGCTTCTGTATTGAGTTTGAATAGCTCAAGGCTTTTCTATTAATAGTTCTGGCTGCTTGGGCTTCCTGGAGACCTGCTGCATAAGATTTGTTAAGTTCTAATGCTTAGAGTCTTGTAATCATAATTACAAGAAGATATCTTCTGAACCATTCGAATTACTCACTTGCTTTTTACAGAGCCTGAAATAACCAGAGCCTGTAAGATTTGACATCCACCCAACCTCACCACGTTAACTGAGTTATTGAAGTGAGGCTTGTTTCTCGATTAACTCTCATGTGTCCGTCTTGTGCTATCACTGCCTTCTGGTGGTGAGGAGCTCTGCAACTGGAAAATTCATTGTATTTAATTTCCAAACTGCTCATCCCATATAAAGCTGTGCACATCTCAAATTCAGGGACTTCAGTGTCTTCTCTGTTATTCTGTCCATTAGTAATTCTTACTTGGTCTTAATTCAGACCTGACTGGTGTGTTCTCTTTTATCACGTCTACATGGTTTATTATTTTCATGAGCACAGCATTAATTTCCCTTTGTTAAGCAGTCTTCCAGATGGAAAAATATTGTCATATGTCAGAAGGTCACACGTCATTCTGTCAGTACTGCAGTAAGCCCACTTCCTATCCATAGCAAAGGCCAGCTCAAGTTCTCTGGGCATCCTGCCCCGCTTGTTCGGAACCTGCATGGAGCAGCAAGACCTTTAAGGCACCCAAAGAGCCAGCACCATGAAAAGTGAGTGGCCAAAAGAGCATTCTAAGTGCCTTCTTTGTGTTGTTTGCTTCACGGTCAAGTGTTTAACCTTTAAGTGTTTTATAATGAAAGTAGAATTTTTTAAATTTCAAAGCTGAGAACCACCAAGTCACAAAAAACTGGGAGAAATATTTGGCCATTGAATTTTGGAGACCTGTTCTTACATTTAGTGTCTCAAAGCAAGACTCCTTTGGCACTGAGCCACTCTGTTCTTCCCTGCTCCCTGCACACAGGTATTTGTTTTATAAGTATCGCTGGTTGTGTCCAGCACAACTGGGGCTTGTCTTGTCTGTTACTTCTCAAATGCGTCATCAGTCTGTCTTTCCCTGTGGCTTAGAGATGAAATAGGTTTTTAATTCAAATTAATGTGTACTAATAGAACCTTAGCCTGGGAAAGATACTGTTATGGGACGTTAAAAAAAAAGACCTTGTCCTCCAGGCACCTAGAGTTTGATAGGGATCAAAGACAGAGCTTCAGTGTAGAACAAGATTTTGTAACAGCTCAAGGAAGGTTGTGGCAGTGCGCTGTGAGCCTGTGTCCATCTGGGCACAGGATACTGGTGAGTGGCAATTTCAGAGGTGGGCTGGGGCTAGGGTGGAGATGGGGGGTCACTGGGACAGAGGCCTGAGACAGAAAAAGAGGTTGCAGGGTCAGGGAGAGGGCTGGTGCATGGATACACTGGAGGTAGAGAGTGGGAGAGCCACAGGGTATGTTGGGCCTGATTGATTAAACAGGAAATTGGGAACTATTAGCATGTTTGAACAGGTGAGTGAAGTGTTCGCCTTTTGGATTAATCCAGCAGTAAGTAGCTGTGTGGGAAGACAGCTGAGACCAGAGTAGGAGAGGCCACAGGTAGAATCTGGTAGGGCCTAGCACTAAGTAAGAGCTCAGACAGCTATTATTATTATCATCATCATTATCATTGTTATAATAATTATTATTTTGTTATTATTATTATCTGTTGTTGTTGTTGTTGTTGTTGTTTTTCGAGACAGGGTTTCTCTGTGACCTTAGCTCTCCTGGAACTCGGTCTGTAGACCAGGCTGACCTCAAACTCCGACATCTACCTGCCTCTGTCTCCTGAGTGCTGGGATTAAAGGAGTCTGCCCAGCAGACAGGAACTGTTCTGACGGTTAAGAATGGGTTAGTGATACTTACTTAACAATCTAATCACTTAAAGTGATATCCACCATGTTGTAGATCTCATTGCTAAGAATGAACTGTGGAGAGGTTGTTTTGGTTTTGTTATTGTTTTTGTTTGAGACAGGCTTCCTGTAGCCTAGACTGACCTCAAACTCCATGTGTAGCTAAGGATGACCTAGGACTTGATTTTCTCTCTCCACTTTGCAAGTGACAGGATTATAGATGTATATCACCAAACCCAGCAGAACTACATTTTAAAATTAAATTGAGTCCTGGGTAGCAGTAGCTTCAATTTATATTTCTTTATAATGATAGTAATACATTGATATTGTGAGTTGGAAATATAATTTTACTCTTATGGTTATAACTAAATATTTCAAAATTGGCATATCTAAGCTATTAATATACAACTCTATTATGAAGTTATAGACTTCCTATAATAGTTCATAAGAATTATTATAGACTCTGAAGATACATCAAGGGGAAAAAACAGGAGAAAAAAAACCTCCCTTGCCTGAGCTCAAGAGTTTTGGTTCTAGTAGGGACACAGATAGGAAAGAAATCTGTGCTTAAAAGAGCTGTCAGTGCTAGGTGGGGGCAGGGTTGAGGGACCGCACTTTTCAACAGGCCCCACAGAGAACACGTCATTTGAGACATATGATGAAGTGTTATTGTTTGAGTTTGAGATTAGCTCCCACAGGCTCATGTCCACAGCTGGTGGTACTCTTTTGGGAGGTCTGGAAACTTAAAAGAGTAAGGCCTGGCTGTTGGCAGTAAGCCCCTGGGGACGAGCCCTGAGGCGGATAACTGGAACTTACTTTCTCATTGGTCAGCATGATGTTGCCAGCAGCCTTCCATTTCCACTCACACGGCCTAAGCTTCTCCTGTCATGCCTTGACTTGAGGGTGGAGAGATGACTCAGTGGTTAAGAGCCCTAGCAGCTCTTCCAGAGGACCTGGGTTTGATTCCCAGCACCTGTGGTAGCTCACAATGGTTCGTAATTCTAGTTCCAAGGTATCCAGCAATTCTTTTCTGGATTTCACAGCACCAGGCATGCCAATGGCACATAAAGTAAAATAAAACAAAACCAACCCTGTGAGCCAAATAAATCTTTTCCCTCTTAAGTTACTCCTGATTGTTATTTTGTCATAGCAATGAGAAAAGGAACCAAAATACTAGGTAAGGGTAGGTGTTTCCTCGACTGAAGAGCATTGGAATGGATGGCTGTGGCAGGAGCAGGGCAGGTGGAGGTACACAGAGCTTGGAGAGATTTGGGGGCCACACAGGATATAAGGGACCCTGTTCTGCCTTTATATGATTTATTAGAAAGACATCCTTTTGCTTTCCCGAAACAAAATTTATAGGTAGTGGCTTACATAGTTTTACAAACGGTAATTAAAACTGAAAAATAGGAAAATAATTTTTAAAACGAGATAGAATCTTGCTGTATAGCTATATAGGCTGGGCTGTATAGCTCAGGTTGGCCTCAAATTTGTGGTTCTTTTCACTTAGACTCCTTAGAACTGACATTTTAGACGCATATTACATCCCAGTATATGGGAGATAGAGGCAGGCAGATCTCTCTGAGTTCCAGGCCAGCCTGGTCTACATAGTGAGTTCCAGGACAGCCAGGGCTATTTAGGGAGCTCCCGTCTTAAACAAGAACAAGAACAGCAGCAGCAACAGCAACAACAAACCAAACAAAATCAAACAAATGGAACTACCTGGCATCTCTGGCCCCAGTCCCTGTGGGCATTGGGAATTGTGCTCACAGATTTCTAAGTACTTCCTAGTGAACTGCATCCCCCCTGTAAAGAATGCTAGTGCTAGTGTAGGGCCTGGTGGCCATGGAAGGACATTGAAAGAAATGGAAGAATCCAAGCATAGGAGTGACATGCCTAGGAATGTTTTCTTGCCAATGCCACAGGTTGGCTCCTTACACTCCAGTGTAATGGTAAGTGACTGTGGGGACTTCAGGAATAGCATAAGGGTGAGACTCCACACTTGCATTAGTGTCCTTGTGAGAACAGGACAGACCTGTCTGTCTGTGTTCTTTCTCTCTGTCATGTGAGGGCACAATGAGAAGATGTCTCTAGCCATGAAGAGATTTCCTGGACAAGAGCCAAGCCTTGCTGGCATTCTGATCTCAGAATTCCAGCATCCAGAACTATGAAAAATAATTGTCAGTTGCTTAAGTCTCTCAGTCTGATGTTTTGATGTTCAAGCAGACTAAGGTACCTTTTATCTATAAATGAATTATCTTTAATATAACGAGTGATTTAGTCCAACAGCTGTATTTCCTTACCTTATTCTAGTTCCCAGTAACTACATAGAGAAACTAAGATGTATTTAAAACTGCATTTCAATAGCTGACCAGCTAAATGATCTATCTTAACCTTCTATGCTAATCTGGCTACCTCCCAGCCCCATCCCATGATACTCGCATATTATTATTGCTCTGGCTCTTTGGGTGTGTTTCCATGATCTCTTCCCAACGACCTCTTCCTCATGGCTCCAAATCCTCCATCCTCCTTGCTGACCTCAATCTCTCTCTGCCTCTGTCTCTCTGCCTCTGTCTCTCTGTCTCTCTGTCTCTCTGTCTCTCTGTCTCTCTCTCTCTCTCTCTCTCTCTCTCTCTCATTCTCTCTCTCTCTCTCTCTCTCTCTCTCTCTCTGTCTCTGTCTCTCTGTCTCTGTCTCTGTCTCTTCCTCTTCCACCCTTCCCCTGCTGGTGAACATCCTGCCCTATTTTCTATTCTGTCCAGCCACTGGGTAATCAGCATTTATTGACAAGGCAGAGTATAAATGGTAAGAATTGTTCACACAAACTTGAGATAAGAGATTCTTGGTATAAGCATTACAATGCCTTGCCTGGTTTGAAATAAGAAATGAGGGCAGAGAAAT